AGGACATGCGAAATATATTAGTCATACCTTTGAACATATATTACCGTTCCCATTCCTGCCGCGTCTGCTCCTACAGTATAATCAGGTCATCAGTCCTCCCCCATTTATTCATGTAGATTGTAAAATCGACTTTATCACTATCTCTTCCCCAAAACTCTTGTCGTTGATGACCATGAGGTGAGTGGGTGCGAATATCTGCGATCGCTTGCTAACCGGGTTCTTGCCACGTAGGAGAATGGGTGACGATTTCTATTTTTCTCTCTCTTTTCTTTCCTATTCTTGTGTTGCTTTCGCCGAGACGTGACTTGGCCTTGGCCAGAGGAGCCCCCCCCCCGTTCGTAAATAGGAATGCAAAGGGGGTGACGGGAAAGTACTTTGATTTGTGTTTTTGATTCGTACCAAATTGGCCGTTTTTTTATACACCTTTTGGCCTGTGACATAATGGCGGTGTTTAGTCCTCGATGACATGGAACTACATATTTTCAAGGCTACTTTACTAATTCATTACCATTATTGCTATGGAACTACATATTTTCAAGGCTACTTTACTAATTCATTACCATTATTGCTATTCAAAATGTAGATGTCATTCGGTCCCCTGCCTATAACCATGCTACTAACTCTTTACTAGCAATTACAAAGTTACTGCTATTCCCGCTCGCTATTACTGCTCCCAGCTCTATTATTCCTGATGTTACTCGCAATGCAATGCTAGGTTGCAGTATTAGGCAAGGTCATAAGGAGAGGACTAGCTGACATTTTGCTGTTGCTTTGGTGATAAAGCTAGCGCTATTTTTATGCCATTTTTGCTGCTGTGTTACTATCACAGTAACAGCTACTATTATTCTATACTGCTAGTACTATTACTACTGTTACCTTATACTGCTTCTCCCGGTCCTACTCCTACTCCTGCTGGACCTCCTCATTTGCCTCCTTCTCCTCTTCCTCCTCTTCTTCCAACTCCTCCTTCTCGTCTTCCTCTTTTCCCTCATTTGCTTTTTTCCTCTTTTCTGTTATCTCTTTCCCCCTGTTGGTTTTCCATCTCTGTATTCCCTTTCTTTTCTGTCTCCATTTTTCCAGACCCTTCTCATTCTTCTTCTTTTATCACCCCATTTGTTCTTTCTTTTCTATTTCCTCCTCTCCCAATTCCATCCTCTCTCCTCCTGTTCTTCCTTCTTATTTCCTTTTACGTCAACGCCCTTCCTGTTTTCTACTTCCTCATTCTCTTCCTTCCTCCTCCTCGTCCCTCCTCTTCTTCCTCCTCCTCCTCCTCCTCCTTCTCCCATTGCCTAGAATATCCTCAAGGCTGGATAATAAGCCAAATACTATTAAGACACCTCAGCCACTCCAAAACATGTGTAAAAAAAGAACGACGTAAAAGGCTCTTCGGCAACTCAAGCGCGTGAGGTGTGTCACAGTGCTGGCTTGAGGTCGGATCAGTTCCTCGTTGGATCCCAGGTCGAACGTGTAATGCACGCTCGACGGTGAAGAGACGAAGCAAGCCAAGAACACAAGAAGCAAAGGAAAAAAGAGCACAACATCGAAGGGAAGATAAAGAAGAATAAGAAATCGAAGATCCAAAAAGAAGAGAGAAGAAATCGCAAGGCCCAAAAGAAGAGAATAGAAGAATATACATCAAGAAAAGGGGAAACAGAAGAATAGACCAAGATAAAAGATAGAGCAGCAAAAGCGAGAAAAATATAACTCAGGTAACCAGTACATCTGATTTAGTACTGGAATTTCGTAGACGCTCTCAGTATAAGATGTTCAGGTCGCCTCCTTGAGCTCTTAAAGGGACAGGAAAGGGTTGAAAATAATTTCCATTATTATTCATCATACTTAAACCGGATTCCAAATTTCGCACATAATTAAAGTCATCCAGAAAGGTGCGAGTCATCATGAGTCCCGCACATGAGTAACGAGTGAGTCAGGAGTAAAAATGGTGAATATTGAAAGGCAGTAAGGCTCTGAATGGAATGATATACAAATGATAATCAAAGATCTTTTTTATATTGTTTATCCTTCCCTCATTCGCATGCGATTTGAATTAGCAAGTGTATTTTGTAGAATAAATGACTTTTAAGATTTTTTTAATACTTGCTAAAAAAAATTCTTTAAACCGTCCGAATGTTTTAAGACGACAAATTATATATTGTATACCAGTAACAACTTCAGAATGTTAAATTAATATTTCTAAACATCGGTAATGAAGATGCTGAGAAATATCTCTTTTATCTTTTATCTGAACTCATAAATTTGTCTTCTAACCCGGAATTAGACAATCTTTTAAAATAAAACGAGAAGCAAAGACGAAAACGCTAAATTTTGAAAGGAAATTGTAATAAAAGATACATACTATATATATATATATATATATATATATATATATATATATATATATATATATATATATATATATATATATATATATATATATATATATATATATATAGGCATTTTCCAAGAGCTCACCGGAGACGCGAGAACAATTATGTACACC